TGTAAGGATAAGTCCGAGGTTAAGGACCTCGGACGTACTATAACAATTCCTTGATAACCGAAATGAAGTTAAACCCAACATTTATGGTCAAACGGCTGTACGATAAATATAGTGGGCATATCCACACTTGATTTATTGCATAACTCTTCAGTCCCGAATTTGTAGCCGGTCCTGAGTTTATCTCCTCAAGGGACACGTCACACTCCGATTATCTTGCTTGGCATGCCATGTGAGTTTCTCACTGAAGCCTATAAATACACCCAGGGGCCACGTCAAAAAGGTAATTGAAACCAACAATAAGCTCTTTTTATCTCCGCTCTAAAGGTAGCCCCGATTATTACTGACTTAAGCATCAGAGTGTCTACCCCGAGTTCCACCTCGGGGCTTTGCAAGTCAATCCGGAGTGTAGACACGAACTGAAGAGGCACTTCTGGTTTGGTGCAATTACCCTTGTATGGTAAAATTGGTGGCTTTGTATATAATAAAATTAGTGAGTTTGAGTCCTTGTATATGAAAATTGAAAAGTTGAGATCCTCGATTAGGAACAAAAGAGGTTTATGAGGCCTAAATGGACATAAGCGCGTCATTTTCATTAGATTTTTTTTTAACAAAAAAAAAAAAAAAAATCTCTTTCTCAAATGGAAGTTCGTAAAATTTTAGAAATATTCCTAATAGCTATATTCAGTTTTCCAAGTTATCATTTCGTTATCAAATCAAAGAATAAAACCTACAGAGAAATCTGTCACTTTATTCCACAAAACACAGTTGCATAACACTTTCAAGATTTCTTCAAGGCAGGGAGTGCAAGGACTTGTGTATGCATCCACAGTATATGGTCAAAGAGTCACACATGATAGCGAAACGTTAACAGGACTGAAAAACAGTTTCAAATCTCACAAATTTAAATTCCCATGAATCCCTAAATCCAGTATAAATGTTGTATCTTTGACTGAATCAAAGAAATGAATTTACCAATTCAGCATGTTACACTAAAGCTGTATTATGATACAACTTAACCGTTATACTAAAATTTATGATTAAATTGGGTCCTACCTTGATATAATTGAGAACCAAATCCCAATCTACTCTTCTTACTGAGGATACTTACATTCCGACTCAGTCAAAAATTATAGTGTGTAGTTGTTAATTTATATTAGAAGATAATAATAATAATAATAAAAAAAGGAAGCTCAAATCATATAACCAAATAATTTAAGAGTGAGATTCGATAACTTACTTTAAAAATTGTGTCCATTATCTTTTGGTGGTAAAAAACAAATGGAGAATTCCTCAGTTGGACACTCAAAATTTGAAAATTTATCAATCTAGTTCTTAAATTAAGTATATTTGTTGTTTAGCAGGTCCCAATTCATTGCGAATCATATATTCAATAAAAAAGGGTACAAAATAACGAAGAGGTAAGCACTCTACGTGAAACTTGAATCCATGGAAACTATAAACCCAAGGCCAAATTAATTATATTCGTAAGGCTTAGGGAAAGTTGATCATATACTGGTTCTTCAACACATTAGACTTCATCAATGGGTGAATTGTCACTTAAGGAAAAAGCAACATTGTTGGTGAACTAACTTTATTTTTCATTTCTAAATCAAAATTAATTATATATATGAGTATCTTATTTTACAGTTTGGATTATTTTAGACTGTAAAATACATTTTTTGAAATTATATTGTTAGTTTTTTTTTTTTTTTATGAGAATTAGTTTGTTATTTATTCACTAGCAGTTTTAGGCAAAAGTATTTGCATCTTCATTCAATAACTTTGCACTTGTTATATTGAATCACAAATCACAAAGCCCTGGAACTTATTTGGCAACAAATAGACTTTTAATGGCTAATTCACTATCTTTGTGAAAGTTGAGGATGAAGTTATAGGATTTCTCAAACCAAAAGTTGCGAAATGGGGTGTGACTTTTGATGCAAAAGAGGGTGAGAAATATATTGTAGGTAAAGACCAAATTGTCGCCCATGGCACGCCAAAGAACCAAAACACTTTAATAATGTTTGATTTTTGACAGTATCCAAATGATTGGTTGTGACCCCAAAACCCTCAACTCTTCTGTTTCTCTAATCTAAATAATATATTTTTTCTTTCTTTTATGATTGTTTTGTGAGAAAATAAAAAGAGCGTCGTGGGTCTTTTCAAATGATGAAAGATTATTCCCCTTGGCGTGCAAGTTTTCGTTGGACAGTGTTTGATGAGTCATGAGGGTTTTAAGTGGAAAAAGGATGGATTATGACTTATCACTTATGCACAGTGACAAAAGTGAAAATGTTAGGATTATTCGTGAAAAATTAATCAAATATTTTCAATGAAATTTTTTATATTATATATTAATTTATTAAAAATATTTAAATATTTTTATTATTATCATAACATTTTAATTATCAAAACATTCTAATTTTCTATCATCCTAATTTTTATATATTTTTGAAATGCTTGAACTTGCAAAAAGGAAGATTCTTGCTTGTAAAAGAATATTTCGAAATTATAATGAAGTTATTTTAATTATAAGAAATGACAATACATAAATAATAGGTAAAATCAAAATTCATTATAATGATGGAACTAGATCTTTGGGCCAAATGGTTTACCCCAAATCTCAAGGTGCTTGGATTAGTTGGTCAGGATTTTGAACTTCACCAGCGCTTAAAAAAATCTTCTTCCTCTAATCCCCAAATTGTAAACTGTTAAAAAAAAAAAAATCCATTACAATGATGTGATGATTTTCAAATCAATCAATCACATACCGCACTTGATAAACTAATTACCATACAAATAAACCAAATATAATTTTAAAATCAAAAACTTTGTTTTACACCAAATTTGATAATTTTATTGATGATGCCATGTGTTTCTAATAGAGATTTAATGGCCACAATTTTTTTCATACAATTGGGAATTCAAAGATAATCCATAACTATGATTTGGTGTAATGCATTCTACAGTAAACAGAAATTCTGGTGCAATGAATGTCTGTCATTTGATATAAACAAAGGAAGAAGCTTAGTTATTCCACAAAATCAAGAAAGTTGTTGAAATGTTTCTAAGTAGTTCAATTTAGTTGAGGAAAATTAGAATTGGTTCCAACAAGCATGATTATAGGAATTTTGACAACCAAAATTTTGTTTTTAACAACCAAAATAACACGTGGCAAGAGTTCATTTTGCAAGTAAGGATTCAAAGTTGGAATCTCATTTGATTTAGTCAAGCATGATAATGGGGAAATTAGCAAAAATCATGATCATATCATATTTCTAACAATAACTTTAGTTATGGAGACCCATAAACACAAGATTTCAAGACAAAGTTCAAAATAGGCCTACCCCTTTCAACAACATTTACATTTCAACATGTCTTAACTCAGCCCTAGTTTAGTTCATAGATAGTTCCTACCACTACGAGAAACACCTCTAATTCAGACCGAAAAATCGGTCTGAAAATAAATATTCAAACAGTTATTGATCTGGATAATTGGTATGAAAAAACTAATTCTAAATAACTTTATATTCAAACCAACAGAATATCGGTCTAAATATAATATATTTTTAGACCAAAGTTGGTTTGAATAATGGTTGAAATTTTAACCATGTCGTAGCTTCAACCAGACTGATAATGGTCTGAAAAATAGTGACCTTATCTACGAAACCGAAAAGATATGATCTTAATTTAGATATATTTTGAAAACTTTTTCAGACCAAAAATGGTATGAAATTTGAGGGCTTATTTAAAAAAAAAAAAACTTCAGTCCTTCAATGTCAGTATGCTGAAACTATTTTCAGAACAACATTGGTTTGAAATTTGAGGACTTATTTAGAAAAATTAAAAAGTTCAATCCTTATATGTCATTAGACCGAAACTTTTTTACAAAGTTATCTAGACCAACTATGGTCTGGAATATAACTACACAACAGTAGAAAAAAAAAAAGAAAAAGAAAAAAGAGAGAGAAAGAAAGAAATATTATATATTATATGTCTAAAAAATTTCCAAAAAAATATTTCTTCTATATAGAAATATTTACACAGTATAAATTAAAAATAATATATTATAATATATTACATATTATATAATATTGTCTTAAATTAAAAATAAAATATACAACATAAACAAAATTAAAAGTAAAACACCCCCA